TGAAGAATAGATGGGGACCGCATTCCTGCACCCCTCTGCACAAGGGACAAGGGCCACAGTTTGGCCAGCCTCGCCTCTGCAATCTGTCTGCAGTCCAGATCCTATCTTGAAGCGTGAGCCAAGCAAAGAACTTGACTTTCGGAGGGGCCCAAACCTTCCAAACCATTTGGTCCATGGGGGAGAGGACCAAGCCCAAAAACTGCGCCCTGTACGCGGAGGCGGCGGAGTAGTTCCCGGAAGCCGAGTGCTTCCAAAGGATGTCATCGTCGGCAAGCTCATCAAGGTGGACCTCTTGGAGCAGCGTCCATAGGGTGAAGAATTGTGAAACATGCTCAATGGAGGCTGGTGTAGGTGGCCTGATTTTGAGAATCCACGCGCTCTCCTTGAGGGCCTCCCGCACCTTCCAGCGCTTCCGTGAGGAAGCCTCATAAATGAGCGGAGCGATGTCTCTGGGCTTGCGACCCAGAAGCCAAGGAGAGTCCCAAAAAGGTGTCCGCGCACCATTGCCGACCGTGATGGTGGTACATGCGTAGAAAAAATTCAGGTCATCCTCATCACACGGGTTCCCACCTCCAACCCACAGCTTTGTGGGCTCCTTCCACTCATACCAAGGCCACCGCAGACGCAAGGCCCGCGCAAACTTGAAGGTGTTTAGGACCCCAAGCCCACCATAGTCAAGCGGCCTACTGACAGTGTCCCAATTGACCTTGCACTTTGCCCCAGTTGTCTTATCCGATCCCGACCAAAGGAATGCCCGCTCGAGTTTGTCAATGTTTTGCAGGATGGTGGTTTGTATGACAAGCGGTGTGATGAAGTAGATGACTTGGGAAGCGAGAACCGACTTGACGAGCGTCGCGCGTTCAATGGTGGTGATGTTTTGGCCCTCATATGTTGTCAATCTACTCGCCACTTTATCCACTAAGAATTGAAGATCAGCAAGCTTCAGCCTCCAAATCGACAGCGGTAGCCCCAACTAACGGAGCGGAAAGGCAGCCCTAACAGCCGGCAGCCCATGGGTTATGCGGTCCAAGTCGAGGTTGCCACATCTAATGGGCACCATTGAGCTCTTATGGAAGTTAGTGCACAGACCGATGACGTCCCCGAATCCCCTCAGAATGGCCGCCAGGTTGTCCACATCTCTTTTGATGGGCGCAACAAACACAGCCGCATCGTCCGCGTAAAGAGAGTTTAGGCAACCTTTACCTGCACCCGAATCCAGTGGATGCAATGTTGAGGCAACATAGGTGGGATGCCATGTTCTAATAAAGGGCATGAACTTATTGGGGTCTCGAGTCATGATTATTAGGATGGAAGCGTCAAGCGTGTGGTATTCTTTTCTTTGTTGCAGCGCACAGATTCTTTTGCTAGTGAATACACATGTATACTGTATACACAGGGAATGGTGCACCAGATGCACAAATCGTCCATGTGGTAAGCAACCTGAAAAAAACGTTATTATAGGGTGGATACTTGACAGGGTAGGTACAGATGCCGCTAAAAATTACTTTGGCGCATGGATGCGTGTCTTGCTTCCTTGTCGGAAGATTTGAACCAGACGTGCACTGATGAGCCAAGTTTAGTGTACCATCACAAAAAAAAAATTGTGTTTGTGGGGTGACTAAACAGAGCACATGCAGAGTTACTTGTGCCAAGCGAATCCAATCCATTCGTACCACAATGTCGACTATACCGTCCTCGCCCGCGTCCGCTGTCTCGGGTTCGGCGCCGCCGCCGCCGCCGGATGTGGTGGAGGACTGCATGGGCATCGTGCAGCTCCTGAGCGACGGCACCGTGAGGCGCAGCCTGGACTACTCCCACCTGCCGATGCTGAGACACGTCCCCTCCGACCTGCCCGTCCAGTGGAAAGACGTGGTGTACGACGCCGGCAACGGCCTCCGCCTCCGGATGTACAGGCCAACCACCGCCGGCCGCGCAGAGAAGAAGCACCCGAAGCTCCCGGTGCTCGTCTACTTCCACGGCGGAGGCTTCTGCATCGGCAGCTTCGAGTGGCCCAACTTCCACGCGGGCGCGTCCGGCTGGCCGGCGAGCTCCCGGCGCTCGTGCTCTCCGCCGACTACCGGCTCGCCCCGGAGCACCGCCTCCCCGCCGCGCACCGGGACGCCGAGACCGTCCTCTCGTGGCTCCGCGACCAGGCGGCCGCCGGCACCGACGCCTGGCTCGCCGAGTGCGCCGACTTCGGCCGGGTGTTCGTCTGCGGCGACTCCGCAGGCGGCAACATGGTGCACCACGTCGCCGCCCGCCTCGGCTCGGGCGCCCTCGCGCTCGGTGACCGGGTGCGGGTCGTCGGGTGCGTGATACTCTGGCCCTACTTCGGTGGCGAGGAGAGGACGGCGGCCGAGGCCGAGGCCGAGGCCATGGCGCCGTCGTCCGAGTTCGACCCTGGGAAGAACTTCGACCAGATGTGGCGGCTGGCTTTGCCGGACGGAGCGACCAGGGACCACCCGGCGGCGAACCCGTTCGGGCCGGAGAGCGCCCCGCTCGATGACGTGCGGTTCCCTCCGGTGCTGGTTGCCAAGGCCGGCCGTGACCGGATGCGCGACCGGGTGGCTGAGTACGTGGCGAGGCTCCGGGCCATGGGGAAGCCCGTCGAGCTCGCCGAGTTCGAGGGCCAGGGCCATGGCTTCTTCGTGTTCGCCCCCTTCGGTGATGCCTCAGACGAGCTGGTCCGAGTGGTCAGGCAATTCATGTGTACGTGTACGGCGACCAGCCACGGGTGATTAACATATGGATCGGATGTAATGCTCTTCTCGCCAGTGCTTATTTCATATTTTCAATGGAAGTGCTGAATATTTTAGATTACAAATGTAAATCGGATGCTTTTTTTTTGTGGGGAATAAATCGGATTCTTACTAATTTTACAACATCTTATGTGCCGCCGGTGCCACATCATGCCATGATTGGTCATAGTATGAGGATCAAAATCACGAAACGCTCATGACCGCCGGTCATATGATGAGTGCATCACTGGTTCTCACTTTCAGTGAAATTTCATTAATTTCTGTACATATTAAAATAGTCTCCTCTCGGTCAAAATACTCCAGTAATTTTGGTAGTACACATAAATTCAAATGATTTTTAAATTAGTTTTGGATTTTTTAGAATTTTTGGTTCAGTCTCCATCAAATTCATGTGGAAAATTCGCTCCTTTCGCCGAAATCAAAACCAAAATATGAATTTCACAGAAATGTAGTGATTTCTGCAAGTCTAGAATATTTCTAGAACTTAAATTTAAAACCATATTCAAGCACCATATGCGAAGTGCCACATCATGTCGGATCAGTGCAGGCTTCAGGCATGCTTTGCTAGCGAAAATCAGGGGAGGCGAGGCTGAATTTTGCCGTCCACACTATCCCAACCATTAGCGAGACATTGGCTAGATTTTCTTGTGCATGCAAGGAGTTCTTCTGACCACGCGTGCGATTCACACGCAACTGTTATTGATGTGAGCAATGACCAATGAGGGGGTCCTATCACTATCAATGAGGGGGCATATCATCCGTGCGCCATAACACAAACGAAATAGCCAAACATCCATTTACACTGTGACATCTTATCGCAAACGCTTTCAGAAGGACCCGTGTGGATGTAAACCATGTTTTGATTGTGTTCTTACATCTATGCTTAGAGTACTGTTCAAAAACCAACCGATTCAACGATGTATCATCCGATTTGTCACTATTCTGTGGGTGAACGATAAGATTATGTCATATCATCGTCGTTTATTGGTTGTGGTGATTTATCGCTCTTGCAAACGATTTATCAGAAATATACTGATAATTTGGGCCTATTTCTACCATTATGTGTGCAAGAACTATGTTTATTTGTATTTCGTGGACCTTGTAACGTAATATGTATCGTTGTCCTATTTTCTTTGTAGTTGTACAAGAATTCAAAGGCAAGCAATCAATGTAACACTTCTATTCAGTATTGTTTTTGTGTTGAATATAGCATGTTTTAGTGCTTGGAACGTGGGATTTACCAAAAAAAAAAGACTGATTAATAGTCAACCGATAAGATCGATTAATCATCGGATTCCCGATTAATCTCTAATTCTCAGCCGACCAAGACGCTAACGATAAGCGATATCCGTTTCGACCTCTTCCACCAAGTGTTTTGCAGTCTACATGCATCATATTGCATGAACATAATGGTACTATATAAACACTTTATCATTGTCTCCATGGCTTGTTTCCAACCGTCCAAAGGTGTTGTGCTTCTGCATCATGTAGTCACACATGGCTAATAATACAATAATCTACCATCGATCCTTACTTGTCTTCCTTCTGTATATGTCTAGGCTAGGATCAATGTAGACTGTAAAATATATTTTTAGTGTTGCGTTGGCAGGGTTTTAAATGCAAAACCTCTTTGATCTGATTGTATTAAGTTCATGCTTTATCCAGTTACTCCAAAATTCTGAGCTGAAGGGAGGAATAGAAAATATGTCTCAACAATCCTTTCACTCCATCAAAATAATAACTTATCGACATCGAGCTATTTATATTAGGGAGGAATAACATGAAGATGATTGAACTTCAAAGTACTAGGTTGTCTGAACAGTAACACTCTACGTTGTCACAACAGACCTGTGAGAGAAAGAACAATAGTATTCGGTGTCGCGACTCCTTCTTTGCATTGCACTCCTATCAAGATCCTTAGCTATTCTCGGACTACTGAGACATCTTAGATTAGAGCCCTTTGGGCACGTTTCATCTTTGCAAACTCAACCAGCCTATCGACTTTTGGCAGAACCACCTTGGCGGGTTCCATTTCGCCAAAGCGCTCCATCCATGCCAATAGAAGCGGAGTCTTGGTGGTATGTAGAAGCTCCACAACACAAAGCGCCTCGGTTCCTTGCATCCATGCAACCATACCACCCAACACAACATCAACATATCCGACGTTGTCTCCTCCAAAGAACGGCTTCCCCTTGGAGCATTCCCTCAAGACCCCCTCTAGCATATCCACCGCCGCTAGCGTTTGCATTGTCCCTTCATCTTTCTCCTTATCTGTCTTGCCCACAAACATCTTCCACCATGGCGCGACTAGCTGAAAATACATATGCATACATACAAACATATGCACAAACAATATATATTACGTAGTGTATCGACAAATTAATAAAACTCGCACGTGCACCGGTAATGATAACTAATGATGAACCTTGTCGTCAATGTAGATGGCACAGAATCGAGCCCTAGCACGTTGGTAGGGGTCGGCGGGGAGGAGGGAGGGTCCTATCCCATGGTAGACCTCATCGATGTACTCCAAGATAGCAAGCGACTCGCAGATAGGCATACCATTGTGGATGAGCACGGGCACCTTCTTGTTCACCGGGTTTGACGCGAGGAGAAGGTCGCTCTTATTTGCAAGGTCCTCTTCCTGGTACTCGTAGCTTAGGCCCTTGAAGTTGAGCGCCAGCCTCACTCGCATCGCGAAAGGGCCCCTCCATGTCCCTAGGAGCTTTAGCTCATGCTCGTCTTCCCCTGCTGCCACTTGTTGCTACGCTAGCTCAAATAAATAATCGATGATTACCGCAATTTTTTTTAAAACAAATCGATGCAACATGCATAAATTCTCAATCAAAAGAAAATATGTACGAAGTTTGAACCAAACTATACCGTACATACCATGCCGCCAGCTGCCGTGTAGGGATTATTGATAGAGGACGAGCTTACGATGAGCTTACGGTTCACCGACGTCAAGGAATACATGAAGCGTGCCCTTGAAGGTCGTCCGGCTGTTACCGGCGGACCCGTGCATGCTGCCAACATGACGACCTGAGAATTAGAAAAAGCAAGCCCAGGGAGCGCCATGGCGTATGTACGTGGATGCGCACGTAGATTTGAGCTCGTATCTAGC